AAAATAAAGCTAAATAGACATATTAACAGACATATAAACCACATATAAAAAAATATTTACCAGTATATCCATTAAGTATATCCAACTTTACCTGAATACATACAGTATGCTTGCATAAAGCAATATATACCATATATATTTTTTAGGTAGATGCCGTATTAGCGGCTATTTTTATGGGCTGCTACATGTAAGCCATCCGCCATATTGGAATGGTCACATCCAGTCTGAACAATCGAGAGCAAGTTGCCTGTATGTCTGCAACCCTACTTATACACATGTATGAATATCTATATCTGCAATAGACCTCAGCAGATGATTTTGCTAAACTAACACAATACAAGACGTAACTGTTCGCTAATATGACTTTAAAAATAAAAGCTATAGTTTAAAAAGCTGTAATACTGAGTTAATACATATTAAAAACACAAACAACCACATTCTTACCTGTGAAAGTTTATGCAAATTCTTCAGGAATTTAAATTTCAGCGGTTTTTACAACCAGAGGCTGCTGTTGTGGTATCTCATTGACTGACAAAACTCATCGATTTTTATTGTGAGATGGCGGACACGTCGACATGTCAAATGTGGCATCTACCTATACATACTGTATCTATGATATAAACTATATAGCCAGTCTCAACTGTTGACCTATTAGGGCTGCTATGTTGAGATCCCATGACCACTCCAATGCAACTTGCTTTATTTCATTAAATCCTGTTATGGAGACTTTCACTTGTTGAATAAATATTACATATTAGCCAGCACAAAATACTGTATACCTTTACGATTTCTAGTATATGAAATGGAATGAATAACTCACAGCACAGTAGACAGGTCTAAAAGACATGAGTCTCTCCACGTGGTAGGACAGGTTTCCACTGTAGGCATCCCAGTGAGGATACTCTCCTCTCTCCAGGATGAACTGCTGTCCCTGGAAGTCGTGGTGCTCATAACCCACCCAGCTATTGAGAGAGAGAACATCCAGTCAAACATGGGCAAACATTACTGGTTGAAAGCTCCCTAGAACATATGTATGGAAGCACACATTCTGTAACTCACGCGCCACTCTCAACGCGAATAGAACGGATGTTGTCGAAGCCACACTCCTGGATGTTGCAGCATTCTGAGGTGAACTCCTGACATTTTCCCTGGAAGTGTTCCTGCTCAAATACAGTCACCTAGAAGAGCAAAAGCACACAGGTAAAGTGTCTTGTGTGATTTT